AGTCTTGTCTATAGTCTAGACTAGAGTATTGTCTATAGTGTAGACTAGAGTCTTGTCTACAGTCTAGACTAGAGTCTTGTCCATAGTCCACACTATAGTATTGTCTATAGTCCAGACTACAGTCTTGTCTATAGTCCAGACTTTATTCTTGTCTATAGTCCAGACTATAGTCTTGCCTATAGTCCAGACTATGGTTTTGTCTATAGTCGAGACTATAGTCTTGTCTATAATCCAGACTATAGTCATGTCTATAGTCCAGACTATAGTCTTGTCTACAGGCCAGAGTATAGTGTTGTTTATAGTCCAGACTATAGTCTTGTGTATAGTCTAGTCTTGTCTATAGTCCAGTCATGTCTATAGTCCAGACTATAGTCTTGCCTATAATCCATACTATAGTCATATCTATAGTCTTGTCTATAGTCCAGACTATAGTCTTATCTATAGTCCAGACTATAGTCTTGTCTATAGTCCAGACTATAGTCTTGTCTATAGTCCAGACTATAGTCTTGTCTATAGTCCAGACTATAGTCTTGTCTATAGTCCAGACTATAGTCTTGTCTATAGACCAGACTATATTCTTGTCTATAATCCAGACTATAGTCTTGTCTATAGTCCAGAGTATACTCATGTCTATAGTCTAGATTGTAGTCTCGTCTATGGTCTCCGTTAACCTTTTTAATCTCGATAGAGATAAAAACACTTTTTGCAAAATAGAGAATTTTTGAAACTAATATAATTTATTGAAAACACTTAACAGAGACAACAAACAGCCCTTTTTCTCCCCATCTTGACACTTGTTCCAGCCTATCAAATATTAATTGTGCTGTCAACGCACTAAAAACACTTGAAAAATTCGTATCATCAAAAAAAAGTCACTTTTTAAATATATTATTAAAAATAGCTTATGTCAAGAATTATGTAGCTACATTTAGTTTTATTTGATTGGTACAAATTACTTTTAAAACAAAAAAGTAAAATACATAAATAGAAATTTAGTTTTATGCTTTTTTTTTTGTTGTAGAGGGACAGACATATGTCCACTATTTTCAGAAACAGCTATAAATATAATTTTAAAACAATTGTAAAAAAAACACAATAAAATTAAAGAAAAAGAAATAAATGCATTTGTTTCATTCAAAATAATAGAAAAAAAATGGCAAACACTAAAAACTAGAAGATTAATGAAATACACTTTCATTATAAACTTGACCTCTTGTAGCGCCAAGATAACAATATTAGGATCATTATGTTGAGACAAATATTCTTTATATTGCTCTTCATATACAGACATAGTATGTATATTTATATTGTTCATAAAAATTATGCTTTTAATACAGTCTAGGCTAAAAGTTTGCGAACACTTAGAATCTGTCTTATAACCTTTATCAGACAAGGGTCTACCGAAGATTTAGACCAAACCATAGGATATCATCGCAGTTGTATTGTTTTTTAAGGTTTTGCAAAAAAATAGATTTTTGAGAACTATGAGCGATCATCGTTTTCTCGGTAGGAGCGTTATTTTAGAAGCTGTAAGCGATTCAATGTTTTTCATGAAAAAAAAAACCCATTTCCTATAAAAATTATATTCAAATTCATCAAATTTTCTTTCTATGTATCCCTCAACTCCAACCTCCAACAAAAAAAAAAATATATATATATATAAAAAGCAAACCTAGTAACCCCAATTTTAATTAATACTTTCTTTAAAAGACTGAAGTGTGTTCACATGCTCTAAGGAAATTTTACTCCAATTTTTTATTTCATGTGAGTATTTTTAGCCAGCAGCAGAAATATCTGTTTCTATGTTAAGAATTCTATTCCCTAAAAATTTTTTCTCGATTTGTTGTTCTTGTTGTATATTTTAATTGTTTGAAAGATGCCTTTTGAACAAGTATTTTAAATAATACCATTTACAAATAAATATATTGTTTACATTTGTTGTTTTCTTGCTTTGTTTCCAATTCTATTGTTTATAATAAGATTTGAGTGGCTATATTGTGGGTAATTTTATTGCCAAGAATTTTTTTGTGGTAGAAAAATGTAAATAGTATGTTTATTTTACAATAAGCCAGATAATGGTAATACATTTAAAATTTGTTCGTTTATGGGTGGCATTTGCAGTTAGGACAATTGCCTGTAACAATTAATGTTAAAAATGATACATTATCAATTAATAAAAATATAATCGTCCATACTACTATCCAGACTATAGACTTGACTATAGTCCAAAAGATAAACTAGACTAAAGTCCAGACGATAGACTATATTATAGACTATAGACTAGACTATAGTACAGACTTTAGACTAGATTATAGACCAGACTAAAGACTATACTATACACCAGACTATAGAATAGACTATAGTCCATATTATATAGCACACTAAGACTATAGACCATACTGTAGTTCAATCTATAGACTAGGTTATAGTACAGTCTATAGACCAGAATGTAGACTAGACTATATAGTAGAGAAAATATACTAATTTTAATGAAACACTATATTACCAAAATCACCAACTTAGATCCCCTCTAATGCCGGCAGTTCCTGACAGATAGAGCTGAAAATTTCTGTCTGGCCTACTACCCATAGTACTAACCTTACTGTAAATTTTTTGAGTTAGGTCAATTGACACGATATTGTCCATATATATAGTTAGACTTATACATTGTTCAGATCATTGATTATATATGTATCTAATATATATTATATGTATATTAGACTATAGTCAAGAGTAGAAGCTAAACTATCCTCTAAACTATAGTCAATCCTATAGAAAAGACTATTGCTCAGACTATATACTTGCCTATTATGCTTACTATAGACCAGCCTAGACCTTAGACTTGCCTATTATCCAAACTTTACACTATACTATAGTCCAGATTGTAGACTAAACTATAGTCCATTCTATATACTAGACTATAATCCTGACTATACACTAGACTAAAGTCAATTCTATAGACTAAAGTCAAGGCTATAGACTAGACTATAGTCAGGCTATGCAACATACTATAGACTAGATTACAGTCCAGATTATATGCTACACTATAGTTTAGATTAAAGTCCGGACTATATACTACACTAAAATCCAGACTATAGACTACACTAAAGTCCAGACTATAGACTACACTACAGTGCAGACTATAGACTAGGCTATAGTCCAGACTATATATAGACTTAACAGTGGTCCAGAAAATAAACTAAACTATAGTCTAGACTATATATACAGACTAAACTATAGTCCAGGATATATACTAAACTATGGTCCAGACTATAGAATAAACTGTAGTCTATACAATAGACTAAACTATGGTCTAGTCTATACAATAGACTAAACTATGGTCTAGTCTATACAATAGACTAAACTATGGTCTAGACTATGGACTAAACTATAGTCTAGACTGTAGACTAAACTATAGTCTAGACTGTAGACTAAACTATAGTCCATACTATGGACTAAACTATAGTGCAGACTATAGACAAAACTATAGTCCAGACTATAGACTAAACTATAGTCCAGACTATAGACTAAACTATAGTCCAGACTATAGACTAAACTATAGTCCAGACTATAGACTAAACTATAGTCCAGACTATAGACTAAACTATAGTCCAGAGTATAGACTAAACTATAGTCCAGACTATAGACTAAACTATAGTCCATACTATAGACTAAGCTATAGTCCAGACTATAGACTAAGCTATAGTCCAGAGTATAGACTAAACTATAGTCCAGACTATAGACTAAGCTATAGTCCAGACTATAGACTAAGCTATAGTCCAGACTATAGACTAAGCTATAGTCCAGACTATAGACTAAGCTATAGTCCAGACTATAGACTAAGCTATAGTCCAGACTATAGACTAAACTATAGTCCAGACTATATACTAAACTATGGTCCAGACTATAGACTAAACTATAGTCCAGATTATAGACTAAACTATAGTGCAGACTATAGACTAAAATATAGTCCAGACTATAGACTAAACTATAGTCCAGACTATAGACTAAACTATAGTCCAGACTTTAGACTAAATTATAGTCCAGAATATAGACTAAACTATAGTCCAGACTATAGGCTAAACTATAGTCCAGACTATAGACTAACTAAAGTCCAAACTATAGACTAAACTATAGTCCAGACTATAGACTAAACTATAGTCCAGACTATAGACTAAACTATAGTCCAGACTATAGACTAAACTATAGTCCATAGAAGAATATGCTGTAATTCCGTAGTTCAAAAAAATCAAATAATCCTAAATAGGTAAGCATTTTATTTTGAAAATTATTCAAAATATTTTGCGAAATGTTGACTTTTTTAAAACCAAAAAATTGAATGATAACTGAATTTGCCATAATTTCACTTTCACTTCGGAAAAGAAAATACCACAACTAAACACAGTGGTGTTCTATGGCTATTTTAGAAATGCATAGTTCGTATCTTAGAACGGCCGGTTTTAGGGTACAATAGTTTCATTAAAGTTTACTACTTGATGTTCGTTTTTCTTTACAATATTCTATTTATTTCATTGATGACGTTTTCTTTTTCTACTTTGTTTTTTTTTTTTTTGCTCATACGGACCGTATTTTCTAGCTGTTGTTCATTATTGTAGTCATTTGCTGTATTTTATATACAATTTCAAATTTTATTTTTGTCGACATTGTATTGTTGTTGGTAGTTTTTTTCCTCGTTTCATTTAGTCTTTTTTTTTTTGGCAATAGCGCCCTTTCCTTAATTGAAAAGTTTGCACTATAGTGAAAGGAAAATCTAATGCAAAAATAAAAACTAAATATTTTATTTAATTTGAAATGAGATAGACAGGCTGACCGTCATCATTATGAGCAACAAGTGGATGTTTATTTTTGAATAATAAAATGATCGATTTGGCAAAAAATTTTAAATAAATCGTTTCAACTTAACCTTACTTAACATACCCTTAAAAGTAAGCATCCGTATAAGCACTTATTCATGAATGAATAATTGATATTATTACTAGTTTTACTTGTTAATTAAGAATATAAAAACGTATTTAAATTTTATTATAAAATATAATTGAACAAAAAATAACTTCAACATAAACTAAATTTTCGCTGAAAATGTTCGTTTGGCCTTTTTTACTGTCTTAGGCTTAAGAGCTGGTCTTCGTTTGACTTTAAGCCTCTTTCCAACTTTCTTGGTCGCCTTCCTCTTCTGTTTTTCCTTATTCCTCTTGCTTTTCTTAGCATTCTTATGTAAAGAACTTGTAGCGGGTACTCTAAATGATCCATTTAAACCAACACCCTTAACACTAACTACTTCACCGGTTTCGAGAGCAGTCTTAAAGATCTTTTTCATAAAAGGCATGCGATGTTTTAAATCGCTTGCAGTATGAAGAAAATTATCCAAAATATATTTACGTATACTCGCCAGTGAGAAACCTTTGCGAGAATTCTGGGCAAGAGCTTTTATGGCTTGTTTCATCATGTTTTTCGTTGAGATGGTTTTAGTTGTTGGGTGCGGCTCTCTAAAGGAAGCAGCATCAGATGATTTGGGTGTCATAGGTATAAAGGGTGCATAGCTTTCAGCGGATGATGATCCATATTGATTTTGATCGTTGGTGTTCTGAATTTTGAAGAAAATTTATTGGATTCGAACCGAGATGCCAACTTAATATCCAGTACTTACCATTTCTTAAAGTTATTTCGTAAATAACGTTTTATTATACTTATAAAGAATATATTTTTCGAGTTTTCTGTTGTTGAATATTTGAAAATAATTTCATAAAATAAATTTTTCAATATAAATTTGTTTTTAAATATTGAACCAAACTTCCTGGCTAGTTTTGTTCAATATTTTTTTAATGAAAGAAAGTAGAATTTTTGATAGCAATCCCACGAATAGGTCGACCCGATCCATCTTCTTCTAAGTAGCATCTGCCCAAAACAATATGAATATTCTAATCCTGGTAATAATCTACCACATCTAAGCTGCGTCTAATTGGCTACGATGACGTAACCACGGACCTATTGCTTCACATTTGAACATACAGTTTTATTGTAGTTTTTTGAATACTACTTCAGTAATTTAAATAAATTTGAGCAGATTTAGTGGTTGAGGAGGAACTTCTCAAGAGAAATAAATATTTTGTTATCCATAACGCACTGCTACACGTTCAATATAGAAGCGAAGAAGAAGAATCGGTTTTAGCAGACGATTTAAACAAGATCCAACAGTTCCTTGTTCACAAGAAACAAATCCGAAGACAGCGACCAATTCAGATCTAAAGTGTTAACAGCTATGATCATGTTAATAAGGTTGCGGGCTAGCTAGCTAGACTAGTTTCGAACCTTGACATAGATGATAGGGATAGAGGAGTGAAACCTGTCATTTGTAACTATTATAGGTTGAGTTTCGAGAGAATCCATCACTTCATCAATCAGTCTTGGAATAGTAGAATGGATTGTAAAATATCAGAGACCTAATGGCCAACACTTGATGTTAGGGCTACCAAGATACTTATAGGTCTAGATAGTCACAGTCTACGGATTCTGACAGGGATTTTAATGTGGCATTGTTCAACTAGTGCCTTTATCAGTAAGTGGGACACTAATATATCAGACTATTGCATGATATGTGAAGATGCAAAGGAGAACTTAATTTGCCATTGTCCCAGAATACAGAATCACTGGTTGAAATATCTGGGAAATAGGTTTCATGACGAACTGAGGAAAATTGTGGCGGTCAACCCTCGCAGTATACTTCCTTTTATGAGGGGAATTAGTAATATCATCGACTGGATTTTATAGGAAGATAGAGATTCATTTACAACTCTTTCTATAGTGAATCGATTCGGTAAAACTTCTAGGTTGGAACCACCCTAGGAATCTCTATTTTGCTTATGTATGTCATTTCTGTTCTTTTCTAATGTTTTGTATCTCTATCTTTTGATCTTTCCACTCTACCAAAGTAAACACAATGGACCTAATGGGCTCCGTATATTGGAGTTGGAACTCTTTATGACTCTTTAGGCTGTGCGATGATCAATCAGTCAGTTATGCGACTCTGTTATATATACAGAAGAATATAGATATCCTAATGTGTACGCGGTCGTATCGAAGGCGCTAATTTCCATATAGAAATCAGTTCAGATCAGAGTTGGTCGATCTGCATAGGCATTTTGTGTGATATAAACAATTAAATTTTTAGCTATTTTTCCATTTTCCTTAATATTTTTTATTGAAATTTAAGATAGGATTAATTACAAAGTAATCGTTTCGGTGAGATTTGAACACTTTTTTTGCTTGATTCAATTACTTTTTGTTATTAATTTACTTTTAATTTGTGTACAATTTTACAAAATATAACTTCTTTCGTAATACTCAATCTAATCATTATAACTTGAAAAACGATTTATCACCAGAGTGGGACTATTGGAGACATTTGAATTACGTTTGGGTAGCGGAGGTGGAGACCTTGGACTCATGCCATACATATTAGGGACACTACGTTGTTCGGCTGTATATTCATCGTTGCAAACTTTGGGGGTTTCATACTCATCATCGGCGAAGTTATAGTTGGGAAAGGTGTCTTCAAAACAAGTTGAAGATGATTTCAAACTAGATAATCTCTCTAAGTCTTTAACGGACATGCGATAGGGTGAGGGTGATGTTTCAGCAGGTGGTGTATCGGGTAGAGGAAGTCTGAAATGGAAGAGTTTTTTAAGGATTATGGGATGTTGATGTTTTTCGAATACTTACTTAATAGAAGATTGCTTCTTTATGGCCAACTCCTTGGTCGAGGGTTTCCTCTTCTTAAGTGAATTCTGTTTTTGATATTCGGTTTCGGAAATAGTTGCCACGTAACAGGCCTGATCGGGTTTCTTAACAACTAAAACATTTTTAGAACCCTCTAAGAGATCCGGATATGCCTTAATGCCAAAGTAAGCAATCAATGCCCCAGCTATGGTCGACAGTAGAAATATCAAACACAACATGCCAATGGTAAATTGTTTATTATCCTCTGATATCCATATGTTTTCCTGTCTCTTGGGCGGTACATATAAAGGCAAACAATCAAAGGGTGAAATATCATTCTCCATAGCACCCAACAAACAAAATGTATAGGTAGTATTTTCCTGCAGTGGACCGACAATTAAGTCGGGCGCATCATAACGTTTACATTCGTAATCCAAAGAAGTTTCATCGTAAACAATAACCGATGATTCCAATTGTTCACTAAACCAAATGACCAAAATGCCAAATTGCGATGGAGTACTTATGCTGACAATGACACTATTGTTCTCGGGTATTAACTGCAATTCAAAATCATAAGTGGGAGCTGGTAATTGCAAATGTTCGGAGTTATCACTAAATGTTTCTACACTAGATTCAATTGGTTCATCGGAGGGCAAAATATCCGCTTCTCGGGAAGTTTGACCAGAAGCATTAGGATCAAAGCAACGCATTTTTAATACCTTAGAGGATTCAGTTGAAGACAATTCATTGGATTGTACATAATCACTACTATTCTCTACTGGCGAGCTACTACCACTACCATAATCTTTTGAGGTAGTGGATTTAACAGTAGAAGTTTCGGGTTCTGTCACCGTTTCCACTTCTTTTTCTTCAACTGTGTCTTGTTGGGTGGTCCCAGTTACAACACAATTTTCCTTTTCAAAGTCCACCTCATCCAGTGTTACTCCATACAAATGATGAGGAGCTTTACAGTACAATACTTCCATAAACTGTAGACGATATTCCTTATAAAGGTTAGCCAATTCCTGCAGCCAACAACTACAAATCCAATGATTATTGGCCAAATTTAACATGGCTATCCTTTGAGTCACCAGTATGGGTTCCAAAACCGCTGCCGATAAAGTTGTTAAGAAATTTTTCGAAAGATTTACAAACGTTAACTTTTCTCTTAAATCTTCAAAAGCATCTTTCTCTATATGCTGTATTTGACTTTCAGTTATGATTAAATATTTCAAATTTGGCATGGACTTGAAAAAGTGCTTGCACAGGGAACCATTAAAAATATTATTACTTAAATCCAAATATATTAAATTAGGCATATAGCTTACACCAAACAGGCTGCCATTGCCATTAATTCTTAAATTTGCATTTAATTTCAAGTTCACCAAAGTCGTCTGCACCGGCTGGAATATGGCCGGTGCTAACTTTTGTATATGTGACTTAATAGTCAAATACTTGAGACTGTAAAGGCCCAATAAAGCACCACTCTCTACTTTTGTTATATTCATATGGGACAGTGACAGTACAAATGTATTACGGAAAAGTGGCGAATTGAAAGCATTACTTTTTATTTTGGTGATATTGCCGAAACGTATTGAAACTTCGTAGAATGAAATATTGGAAGCCATCCAATAATTCTTTAAAACACCCATGGGAAAATCTTGTTGCTCCAGTAGAAGTACATCGATAGAGGGACAAGAACTTGCCTAGAAAAAGAAGTATTTCATAAAATCTTTAATAATTCTATCTGCTAACTTTTATACCTTGACGATTTCGTGTACAGCAGCGTAAACATTAGCCACATTCGTGCAGGCTATTTGACATAATTTCTCTTGGCAGCCATTTTTATTTTTACCAATAGCTTCGTACAAATCGCTTAGTTTAATGCTAAAGCTTTTTATAAAAAAATAATTTGGTTCAAATTAAAAACAGTTTAGTTGACTTCTAGTTCAGTTCTAGTTTAGTTCTAGTTCAGTTTAAGTTCAGTTCTAGTTCAGTTCTAGTTTAGTTGTATTTCAGTTGTAGTTCAGTTGTAGTTCAGTTCTAGTTCTAGTTCAGTCTAGTTTAGTTCTAGTTCAGTTCTAGTTCAGTTCTAGTTCAGTTCTAGTTCAGTTCTAGTTCAGTTCTAGTTCAGTTCAAGTTCAGTTCTAGTTCAGTTCTAGTTCAGTTCTAGTTCTAGTTCAGTTCTAGTTCAGTTCTAGTTCAGTTCTAGTTCAGTTCTAGTTCAGTTCTAGTTCAGTTCTAGTTCAGTTCTAGTTCAGTTCTAGTTCAGTTCTAGTTCAGTTCTAGTTCAGTTTCTAGTTCAGTTCTAGTTCAGTTCTAGTTCAGTTCTAGTTCAGTTCTAGTTCAGTTCTAGTTCAGTTCTAGTTCAGTTCTAGTTCAGTTCTAGTTCAGTTCTAGTTCAGTTCTAGTTCAGTTCTAGTTCAGTTCTAGTTCAGTTCTAGTTTCAGTTCTAGTTCAGTTCTAGTTCAGTTCTAGTTCAGTTCTAGTTCAGTTCTAGTTCAGTTCTAGTTCAGTTCTAGTTCAGTTCTAGTTCAGTTCTAGTTCAGTTCTAGTTCAGTTCTAGTTCAGTTCTAGTTCAGTTCTTTCAGTTCTAGTTCAGTTCTAGTTCAGTTCTAGTTCAGTTCTAGTTCAGTTCTAGTTCAGTTCTAGTTCAGTTACTAGTTCAGTTCTAGTTCAGTTCTAGTTCAGTTCTATTCAGTTCTAGTTCAGTTATTCAGTTCTAGTTCAGTTCCTAGTTCAGTTCTAGTTCAGTTCTAGTTCAGTTCTAGTTCAGTTCTAGTTCAGTTAGTTCAGTTCTAGTTCAGTTCTAGTTCAGTTCTAGTTCAGTTCTAGTTCAGTTCTAGTTCAGTTCTAGTTCAGTTCTAGTTCAGTTCTAGTTCAGTTCTAGTTCAGTTCTAGTTCAGTTCTAGTTCTAGTTCAGTCTAGTTAGTTCTAGTTCAGTTCTAGTTCAGTTCTAGTTCAGTTCTAGTTCAGTTCTAGTTCAGTTCTAGTTCTAGTTCAGTTCTAGTTCAATTCTAGTTCAGTTCTAGTTCAGTTCTAGTTCAGTTCTAGTTCAGTTCTAGTTCAGTTCTAGTTCAGTTCT